CAAAAAACCAAACAAACCAACAAAAAAAAACAACCCAAATGTTGAGTTTGTGACCCAGAACACAAAGCAAAAGCAGTTCAGTGGTGGGGTAGGGGCCATATCCCCAGACAACATAAATCAGCACCAGTCCAATGTTTGCTGGTCTGCACCAGCTGTGCCCTGAGCCCTGGGGAGCAACATTTCCTTCTCACATYGTGTGATCCATAAAAGCATCCTCATGCCAGGGAATGGGGCATGGAGCAGGGGCTAAAAACAAAGCCATTTTACCTCCAAATCTCTCTGCAGCTCAGCCAGCCTGAGTGAGGCTGCAGGGAGAGCCAGACATCAGAGGGAAAATGGTTTGAAGAGTGATTGTGAAGGTAAATCTGGAAGGGAGGACTTTAAAAAGYGATGGAAATGTGTCTGATGGGCAAAATCTGACAGCATTTGCATGAACACATATACTTACTTGTGTTTGTGCCTGTGAACARCCTGACAAAAAATTGTAAGAGTCAGAGCTCTGGATGTGTCTGGAGGCTCAGGTCAGGGTGAACCTGTTCTGCCTCCACCTGATTTAATCTGTGTTTTCTCTTTGGAGACTCTGAGTTTTCATGTCTCAGTGGGGATGAGCATCTAATTCTGCTCTCCTTGAAGCTGGCCATCCTTTCCTACACCCTGGTCCACATAATCCCTTCCAAATCATCAGCACAAGAGTCTTTATTGGCTCAGGGGAAACGTGGAGAAGGATCTGTACCACAAAACTCACGATTTTGTGGCAGAGGAGCCCATTTCAGACTGTGAAGCCTGTCACACCCTTGGAACCTGCTCTGAACACCTGCCCTGGCTCTTCATTTGCTCCATTTTGGTACAAATTACAAACCAGCACAGCTGACAACGCCCTGTGCTGACTTTCTCCACCAACCTCTAGATTGTTGCTCCTTGTTGCTTTTCCAGTGTCCCACTATTGACTCTGCTTTCAAATCTCAAGCTCATTCCCTTCATGCTTGGAGTTTTCCTCTTGCTCTGTTTTCCTTCTGCTCTCCTCTCTTTACCCACCCTTGGTATCCTTTGAGCAGTCTCTCCTTTACCGCCAGCAAAAAATTCCCCCACAACCTCAAACCAAACCTTTCTCACCATGTCCCCCGCCCCACCACGTACCTTGGTGGCCAGCAGCCTCGTCAGGTAGATCTCAGAAACCATCTTGCTGCCCCGGTCCCCCTCTTTCTGGTCCCCGTGCTCGTGGTTTTTCACCAGGTGCCACATTTTGACGCCGCTCTCCAGGTCGGGGGTGATCATGGGGGTGCGGGAGCGRAGGCTGTCGGGGCTGCCCGTGTAGCGGATCATGTTTTCTGCAGAAAATAATAATAAAAAAAATCATTCTGTTTCCTGGTGTTTCCACGTGTCTCAGGAGCTCTCAGGATTGGGATTTTCAGGAAATATGCTCGTGTCGTGCCATCAAATGCGTTTCTTGAATCGTTTTGTGTGATTGGCTCAACAAAGGCGAACGATGTCAATATTTACATTATTAAATTAAATGAGGTTCAAATGCTGATTTTGAGCTGTCCATACTCCTGACTTCTTACCATGTTCTCTGGCAAGTGGCACTGYCAGGGTCAGACACTGCCCAGGACTGGTTCAGGGGGTAGCACCAGTTCCTCATGGGACTGGTTTTTCTCATATTTTTATCCATCCTCTGCCATGCTGCTTGACATAAAAATATTGATRTCTCTAATGTGCTCTCTTATCTAGTTCCTCATCCCCAGATTTAGAAGGAACTGCCTACCTTTCCTTAGCATCAAAGCAAACAAGCAACTCCTGCCGGGCCATCCTCCTCAGTCCCTGCTCCAAAAATCTTGTTTTGACAGAAAAAAGCTGAGTAGGCCCACAAAAATTTCTTCTCCAAGAATACTTTCAGACTTCACATTTTACCTCTCTTTGCCTGTGAGTGATGACACAAGGCATTCCCCTCTCCCTGACCTTCCAGCAATGTTGCCTTTTCCAGCCATAATTATCAGAAGTGTTGCACCTTTCTGTAGCAAGATCTGAATCAGCCTCATTAATGCATTACCAATCTCTACATATTAATTATCAGATGGAATATCCTTTTTCTCTCTGGATGCTGTTTTCTTAATTGCAATTAACAATCACTTTTGACCCACCACATCTYCTCCTCCCCCTGCCTCCTTCCCCGTTCCCTCCTCCTGAAAAATCAAATGGCAGAAGAATTAAAGAAATCCAACAGAAATTAACCCCCCTCAAGTCTTCCTTTCCAAAGGTCACTGTGTCTTTCAGTAATTGCAACAACATGGCAAAGAGGATGAATATTAATAAGGCCTCATGGATCATTTATGTCCTTGGAGAAAGTAGAAGGGGGCACCTCTGGACATTGAGTAACTGCACTTTCCCTTAAGATAAAGGGAGCGAGAAGGATCGGAGATGCTTTCATAAATTAAAAATATTAATAAAATTATATGACAGCAGCACTCAGATTGCAGGGGGGGTGCAGCACTCTGGTTGTACATTCAGGGATGTCCAGCACCATCTCAGTGAGACAATTTCAGGGCAGGGGAGGGAGGTGTGGGAGGGAGTGGGTGAGGCTCAGGAGGTCCCTGCTGGGTTTTGCAGAGGGGTTTTCTCCTGGTCTCCCTTCCAGAGCTGTGTCACTCTCAGCTGTCTCATGGTCATGGTGGGRACAGCAATCCACCGCCCTGAGATCTGCTGATAAAGATCTCAAACTCTCAGGGTGACATTTGGTGATCCAAGAAGCAGGCAGCTAATTATCCTTTCATTAACCAGGGAGGAGAATTTCCCAAAAGCAACCCAACCACTTGGACCAGCCTTGAACCAGAAGTTTCAGATGTATAAATCCTTTGCTTCAGTCTCATTTCATCAGATACTCATCTGCCCATCAGTGTCCCTGCTGGTGCTGAGAGTCCTGTGCCCACTGTGACATTTGGGATCTCTTCCCAGTGCCCTCCCAGTCCATCCCAGTCCATCCCAGCACACAAACCCTTACCATATTTGCTGGCTGACGTCCGGGACACCGTGGAGTTATTAACTGCGTTGTAGGCAGTGACTTGCTTGGAGACCAAAGCGACCACAGATCCATCTGGGACCTGCAGAAAAAAAAAAAAAAAAAGGGTTTGGTCAAGAAACTCTTGAAAAGAGGCTGAGGATCATGGCCAGGGCAGCAGGAGCTGCAAATCACTGCCACTGCAGGCAGGGCAGCAGTTCAGCCTCAAAGCTTCAATTTCTTTCCTTGCTGAGTTGGTCTAGTGATGAAAAGGGACAAAATCTGCTGTTACACAGCCAGAATCATGCACTTGGACAAAGGGACAATTGGTGACAAATTCTGCTCCATTCAGGCCCTGATTCAAAGCCCAGTGACGACAATGTGAGTCACAGAGTCATTGGGGTGGGAAAAGGCCTTTAGGATCATRGAGTTCAACCATTAACTCAGCAGCACCGTGTTCACCACTAAACCACGTCCYCAAGGGCCACATCCAGAGGCCCTTTAAACACTTCCAGGGGTGGTTTTTGCATTAACCTCAGTAAATCTGACAATGGGCTCATCCCAGGGAAGCTCTTAGGCAGAACAGGAGCATGAGAATAATAAAACCATCTGAGCTACATCAAACAGGCTCGGCTGTCCTGTTAGGATAATAAAACCGATGTGAAAGTTCCTTCCTCCTGGATTGCAGGTGAGATCTGGGTGCCTGGTTCAAAAATTACTGTCTGCATTTTCCACTTTGATCCCGTCAGCCTGTCACCCTTCCATGTGRCAAATGGACTGAGGTGACTGAAGCCACAACTTTTTTTCTCTTTGTGGGTCTCAGATGTGGAAAAGCAGAAGGTTTGGAGTGGCAGGATGTCATGGGGCAATGTTTTGGGGGACCACAGGGCTTTTTCAAAGGAGCCAGACTTCCCATTTCTACAGTGAGGCAAATCACGTGGGTCTCCTATCAGAAATGTTAACAAGCCCGTGGCTCAAAAGAGCCATATCAGGAACATCTGTGATAAATAAGACATCATAAAAAGGAGATGGGTAAAAAAAGCCCCTGCTAACGACATCTAACTCATGTCTGTGTAATAATAATAATAATAATTAGCACTTGCATGGAGTTTTTCATCTTCAAAGCACTGCAGAGGCTAATTAAATAGCCCCTCAGCTATCACGGAAGGCAATTATTGGCTCTTTGTAGTTTTAGMCCCGTGCCACAGATGGGGAAACTGAGGCAAAGAGAATCTCAGTGTCTGTCCCAGCATGCTCCGTGTCAGCCTCCAGGACAACCAGGAAAATGATGTGTCCTGAGGACTTGGCCCAGCTCATCATACAGCTGGGAGCTTGTTTGCCTGAAGCAAAAAAAATACAGAAAAAAGCACAGAGAGGAAAGAAAATTATGCCTGGTTTGTTGATGAAATAAAGTAGGAAATGTCCTTGCTCTGTCTGGAAAAAAAAAAAAAAAAATCAGCCAGCAATGCTTCAGTCAGTCTGAAGCAAGAAGTTTTGTTCCCTTTTCAAAGTATTGCTTGCTGTCTCCTCAGCTCAGCTCTTAAATGAAAAGAAAATAATCTTGTTATGAAACAGAGATTGCTGAGGTGTGATGGAGGAAATGACAAAATCATCAGCATCGGATTAAACTTAATGAGGTCCTTTTTGTTGTTTTTTTTCCAAGGGAGAAGCTTTTGACCAAAACTCCATTTTTTCCATTAAATCTGCCACTTGTGTAAGATATTTTCATACATCTTTATCCTTCCCTTATGGATTTCCAGGTCATGCAGAGATGAAGGGAAGCAGAGGAGGTCACCTGGACCAGGACAGGGATTGGAAACAAGGATTTCTTGCACTGACAACTCCACTGCCCCGTGGTCTCCATGCTGCCTTTCCACCTCCTTTTTTCCAATCACTGAGCCTCCTTCTGTCCATTTTTCTCTCTTCCATCCTTCTGAACTCTGCTTGCACTAAAAGACCACGGATTCATTGGAAAAAGAGGCATGGAAGGTTTTGGATTTGTTTATCTACGTGAGAAATGTTAACTCATGTTGTCCTCATCTCCTCTTCATCTTCACTCACCTGGGATGTCCTTTGCGACAGAAAGAAGATTTTTTTTCTACTCTTGGCTTCATCTCTAGTTTGGGCAGGATAATTGGGACAAGGACAGTGGGACAGGAGGGACGGGCTCATYGTGGGGTTTCTGCCCAGTTATCGCCCACTCAATCACACTTTACCTCTGCAGCTTAGAATTTAAAAAAACACAGAATTATTAGAGTTGGAAAAGACCTTTAAGCTCATCAAGCCAAACTCTTCACAGCACTGCCAAGGCCACCACTAACCCATGTCCCCAAGTGCCACATCTGCATATTTTTTGAACGCTTCCAGGAGTGCTGATTCCACCACTCCCCTAGGCAAGAGAATTTATATTTTGCTTTTTATTTTACCAGAAAGAAGATCTAACTCCCGCCCACCCTCTCCCACAGTTACCTGGTAGTGTGCCAGCGTGTTGAGCCTCTTCCAGTCGTTCTCTATCTTGGTGGTGATGTCCTCATCCTGAAGGATCATCCTCGCCCCGCTGGCCTGCCGCCACTCTGCAAGGACAACGGGACAAATGACAAAGGGACAGAGCCCTGGCAATCCCAGAATCCACATCACCTCTACTCTCTGATTACTCTCAGTGCTTAACTTTTCATTTACTCACAGCTCTGCCCCTGCCCCAACACGGCTGCTCCCCACGCCAGCCTGCTCTTGCCTGTTTTTGCCACCCCCATGGAGCAAATGTCACCATGTCAGGGAGAGAAATCCTGGTTCTCTCTCCTCTGGCAGCACAGACAGAGCCTTCAGCAACACCTGAGATTCCTGTCCCTGCCAGGACCTAGCCCAGGGAGGGCAGTGTCAGGATGGACACAGCACCAGAACCTCTCCTGGGCTCAGTTCATGCCCATTGGTGCTCCCAAAATGCTTCTTGCATCTCAAATCCAGCAGTGGTGGAGCCCTTAGGAACAGGCTCCATAGTGATGTCTACAGATTTTTGTTTTTTATGTATTTTTCATACATTCRTGGCTCTGTAAATTACTCTTACATAGTTATATAGCTCCCAGTATTTTTCCTACCCTTCTCTTAGATTTTAGAATAACAAGCTGACCCTTTTAACCCCTTCATTCCTGAAATACTGTTTAGTCTTATTTTCAAGAAGAAAATAAGAATATTTCTTCTACAAGAACATTTTGTTTTCCAATCAGAATCAGAGAAGACAGAACAAGAAATGGGGCAAAGAAGCCCTGGACCAACTCCAACGAGGAGAAAAAATTACCTAACCAACTGCTCTTCTAACTGGCCAATGTTTGTTAGATATGATAATTTGTTTCTGCCACTTCTCCAGCCTCTATCCTGGGATGAMGGATTCCTGCAGCATTGGAGCAGCGCATCACTTCTCAGGGTAATATTTCTTGGCTAAAATCTTGAAGGATTTTTCCACAGAATCACAAAGGTCAGAAAAGATTTCTAAGATCACGGAATCTTGAGGAGGATTGCCATGAAAACATAACTATGGCCAAAAGGAGAGAAATGCTCTGTTGGGGAAAGCTGTGTCTTCATCACAGGCACAGGAAAAATTACCTAACCAACTGGTCTTCTAATTGGCCTAACAATAACATTTTTTTTTTGCTAAAATCTCAGAGGATTCCCCACAGAATCATTAAAGTTGGAAAGA